TCCCAACTTGTCTCTGTGCTTTGCTTTGGTGAAAGCCATGTCCCCACCACCCCCCACAAAGGATGGCTGGTGCTCCCTGTCCTCTCAAAGCCCTTCTGAGAATGGCTCTGGAGGAGCTACCCAGGACGTGAAGTGATTGCTGGAGGAAACAGCTTGTGGGAAAAGGCAATGGATATGGAAACAGAAGCCTGTGGAGCACTCAAATTGCTGCAGAATTCTGCAGATTCAACAAACAGTGCAAGAAGTAAAACTAAAGATGTTTTAAATATTCTGCACCCCAAGGAAGATGAGAGGGCAAGGTCTGTTGCTGTTTTCAGGTAAATGTGAGGAATTCTGCATTACCAAGGAAATAACTGAATTGGGCTCGTTTAAGAGGAATCTATAAAAGAAGGAACATAGTTTGAGGCATTCTTGGTTGATCTTAAAATAATGAATTCCATGCAGTTGTGCTACATTAACATATTTTTGAAGACATAAAAATTCATCAGGCTGTGTGAAAACACAGAAGTTGCTCAGGACAAAATGGAACTGTTATAAGTGTTTGGGTTGCTTTTCATAAAAATATATCTATTCTAGAAGCTTCAACAGCAAGATAACAGTCACAAAATCTGTATTAGCTGAAAACAGCTCCCTTAAAGATCTGTTTCATAACAGCCTAATGGGTAGATAATAGTTTAGTGAAGGTAAGTTCAAGAATTGCTCGTACTTACAGATTGACTGAGCTTCTGTGAAACAGATCCATTCTGGAATAAAAAATGTCATCATGCAGCTTTCTCTAGATCACAGTCTTCATGGATTGTTACAGCTGAAGTTGTTGGAGAAGCCCCAGCTCAGTCCTGCGAAACGCAGACCTGTGAGAAAAGCGTCACAGAACAGGGAGAGGTGATTGTGATTTACCCCTTAAGGGCAGGATTTGGAGACTGAGCTGGCAGGTGTCTGAAAGGAGGAGTCTGTACAGCCAGCAGCCAGGATGGAGGCTGGAATGCCTCAGGAATCAGCCAGTAATAACCAGGTGGTCCTTAGGGAACCGCTGAACGGTGGCTGAAGTCGTTAATGGATCACTGGTTTGGAGATGGAAAAGGGAGAGGCACAAGGCAGCTGTGTGTGCTCTGTCACACGACAGCCAAGTGGGGAGAGCAGGAGTGTGTCTACAGAAATGGGAATTCAGCCTTTGCTACAGCCCCAGGGTCAGATGTTTCCTGGTAGAAGCTGAGATTCCACCCCAGCAAACACGAGCCCCTTCGCCATTCCTGCACTTCCACGGCTCAGTGTCTTTCCAGCCCTTTCCCAAGGCTGGCAGACCAGAGCCAGAAATCCTGGAAGCTGGGTGAGTGGGTGATATAGCCTGGCTTGGCAGTGCCCAAATCCCTGCTTGGTTTTGCCTCCCTGCTGTCCATGACAAATCCATTTTCTTTCTTCCTTCCCTCCCAGCTGGCTGTGTCTGCTTTCTCATCGTCCCTGCCGCTCTCCTTCCTCCCCTCTGCTCCTTCCCAGTGCTGCTCCCCTTATCTCCTCACCAGGCCCGCGCTGGGGGCAGTGTTTCACTCCATGCACCGTCACAGATTACTCCAAGGGCTTTGGTGGCCGTTACGGGGTGGAGAGGGACAAGGTGGACAAGGCGGCCGTGGGGTTTGACTACAAGAGCCAGGCGGAGAAGCATGACTCTCAGAAAGGTGAGCTGGGGCAGCCAGGGGACACAGCCTGAGCTCACAGTGCTGCCACTCATCTCCTTCCCTCCCTTGTCTGTTCTCTTCCACGCCGTCATCTGGATCCCTGTGGCTCAAGATTACGCTGTGGGCTTTGGTGGGAAGTTTGGGGTCCAGAGGGATCGTCAGGACAAGAACGCCCTTGGCTGGGATCATCAGGAGGAAGTGCAACCCCACTCGTCCCAAACAGGTCAGGCAACGCTGCCAGAGGTGGTGGCAATTTCCTTGGAGCTTGTGGTTCACAGTCAGAGATCCAGCTGCTGGAAAAGGAACGTGTCCAGCACGTTCTGGAGCAGCTGGGATGTGGAGAGCCCCAAAGGACAGGGGCAAACTCTGCCAGAGGAGATGGCTGCTTGGATCAGCGGGGGACGTGGGATGAGAGTTCCCCTCAGGCTTCCCAAACTCTGCTATGCTGTCTGCTTGATGCCCAAAAAAAGCAGATAAAACTGTTTAGGGACATTCCTGACCATGTGCTCATTGCAAGGGCAAGCACAGAGGAAGGAGGCAGAACAGACCCCAGGAACCTGGGGACTGCTGCAGGGTTGACTTCAGTGCCCATGGCCACACTCCATTCACACTCCATGCCTTGGACACAGGTTGGGCAGCTGCAGCCCTGCATTCCTGTGCCCTGGGCTGAAAGGAGGGAGAATTAGCCCTAAAAGCCACTGTCCAGAGCACTTTGCATGTGTTATCTCGAGCTGTTTCCATATATGAGAAGATGCAGACAAGGCTAACTCATCTCATTTATCACTGGTCACAGCATACTGAAGCCAGATGTGCTTACAGAATATAAAATATTATAAAATAACCTCCTTTTTTTTTCCCCATACAGACTATGCCAAGGGGTTTGGAGGCCGGTATGGGGTCCAGAAGGATAGAGTGGATAAGGTAGGACTGCTGCAGCCTTCCATGGCTTCCTACTAATCACTGCTCCTTGCCCTGCTGCGAGAGCAGAGATTTCCCAGGTGGAGGTGAGATTCACAGTGCTCGGTGCACAGATGTGGCAAGAGGGAACTGGCTCGGTGTAAAATAGCAGAGGATGCAGAGGGATGCAGCCTGGGGAGACCTTAGTGCAGGGAATTCCTCGTGGCACTGCCTGTAACTCCTCACTTCTCTGCTGTTTCTTAACTTCTGCTGGTTTTTCTCTCCTGTCAAGGAGTGCCTTATGGTCTGCTCAGGTAGCCAAATCTGCCTGGACACCTCGACAAACTCCAGCAGGGATGGGATTAGCGCAGTTGGGCAGGATAAAAGGTCACCCAGTTGGCTGGTTCGGGTTTTCTGTTTGGGCTGACACCCCACAAAGCCTCATGGACAGTCACAACACAGACTCAAGCCCTGGAGTTAATTCTCTGTGTGTGTGTGTCAGGCTGCCCTGCAGCCTTGGTCAGTAAAAAGGGTCCTGCCAGTGACTGGGAGATGATCTTCGTGGATGTGACTAAACTAAGAGGTGGGAATCCTGTGGCTTTGGGGCATTTGGAGGAGGCAGTGGGGGGGCCTTGCCTGAATCCCACATTCCCTGTTGTGGGATTGGTGAGGTCAGACACCCCTAGCAACAAAGCTTGCCATCCATCACCAGTAGCCAAACCTTGCCCAAGAAGCCGGTCAATTCTTCCCCTTCCTCTTGCAGAGTGCTGCTGGCTTCGATGAGATGGCAGCTCCCACCTCCTCCTACGAGAAAACAAGACCTCTGGAGGCAGGTACGAGTATCAGCCCTGGACTTGGGAAGCTGTGGGCATCCTGGTCCCTCTGTGCCAGCACGCTGGTAGATGGGATGGGGGTTTAAGCCTGTGCTGGGGGCAGGACAAAGGCGGCTGAACTGCAAGTCTCTCTGGAAGAGGTGGAAGTCAGGCTTTCTCCTGGATGCTGGGGGCGGTGGGAGGGAGCCGTGGGGCTGGCTTAGTTGGCTGTCTCCTCACAGGAGCTTCCAGCGGCACCAGCAGCCTGCGGTCGCGGTTCGAGCACATGGCCAGGTTGGAGGAGGAGGAGAGCAGGAGGCGGGCGGAGCAGGAGGAGGAGAAGCTGCGGCGACAGCCCCGGCAGGTCCCGGCACCGCGGGGACAGGTGAGCCCTGGCTGTCCTGCCGTGTCCTCCGAGGCTCGTGGAGCAGACTTTTCCTCAGGCCACGCACCTCCATGTCCTTCCAGCTGATCTCTTTAGAGCAACTTTTTGCCTAAACTGCTTCCCTGCCTCTGCCACAGCCACCCACCGAGCTTCACGTTCGGCACCGGACTTTCCTTTTCAGCACACGGATCAGTGCGTGCCTGCACCCAGCCGTGGCCCCTGTGCTTTGGCCTCGGCTCCTTTTGCCCCTGGTGTTTGTCAAAGAGTGCAGTCACCCCTCCCCAGCACTGCCTGTGGGATGCACCCCAGCAAACTGGAGGTGGCACCCAGCCCCGGTGCTTACCTGACCTGCCTTCCCACCTGCTGCCGTTCCTGCACTCAGAGGGCAGAGTGGGATTGGCAGGGAAGCCCCCCCCCAACACGTTCCTCTTCGGGGGTGGCCCCCACCCTTGTCACCAGCCTGCCAGTGCCTAGCCCAGAGCGGGTTTGTAGGAGCTGGAACAGGTTCTAGGGGGAGGAAAATGTTCCGAGTTGTTCTGTTGGGAATGGGAACAGCCGTTGCTCTGTACTCATTCCGAGGGATCTGATGGCTCTTCTCCAGCAGGAAATCCCACCAGGAGGGAAGGGGCACACCGGGGCAGCCCCTCCTGCCCTGCCAGCACAGGTACCCGGGAGTGCCCAAGGAGACCAACCTGTGCCACCAGGAGAGCAGGTGCCGAGGGCAGCCTGGGAGAGAGGAGGGAAGGGGGAGCAGGCAGAGGGGATTGCACCTGAGAGGGGCTGTGCTCCACGGGCAGCCCTGCAGCGAGATGTGGAGTGCAGCCACAGCCTGTGAGAGGCTTTGGAAGGACAAGGGGGAGCCTTGGGATGGGGCAGGCTCTGGGAGGGGGGTGGTGCAGTGGCAGCACCGTGGGCTGGAGAGAAGTATAAACAAGTGAAGCTCAAACACGTGAACCCTGAGGGTCTCCAGAGCAATCCCAGGTGCCAGTTCAGCACGGCCCGAGGGGCTGAACTGTTCCCCTGGTGTGCAGGGGGTGGTGCTCCATGGAGGGGCTGCCTTATGCCAGGTGCTGGGAGTCAGGAGAGACCTGCCTGTGGTGGGTGCTTCGCAGGTGACTTTCTTGTCACTCTCTCACCTCGTGGCAGGAGGCCAGGAGGGAGGACGAGGAGACACCACCCACTCTGCCACCACGGCCGGCAGATCTGGGCGCAGAGCTGTGCAAGGTCCCCAGCCAGGATCAGCCCATCTACAGCGAGAGTTTGGATGTTGGTGGAGACTACGAGGAGCTGCCAGAGCCCTCTGACTACTGTGACATTACCAGTGGAGGTGCTGAGTACGAGGAGCTGCCGGCCCCACTGGGAAAGCTGGATGCTATCTACGACCTTGGGGAAGCTGGAGGAGAAGACTATGAGGTGATCCTTCCTCAGGAGCACAGCCAGAGCCAGCCCCACCTGGGTGAGTGCTGATAGAAGAGCCCATGTCTTGGGAATCTGTGTCCTGAAGTCTGCTGTGGTCAGGGTAGAGGCTCCTGATGATGGAGGCTTGGTGGTAGATGAGCTGCAAGCAGTGCTGGGCCAGGCAGCAGGTGTCTGCTGGATCTGCTGGATTCCTGCCTGGCAGGAGGAGTGGGGGGCTGCTGTGGCTCAGGAGAAGCTGGATGTGTGCTGATGCTCTTGCTGTCACGTCCCCGAAGTGGCTGCCAGTGGGGTACTGGGGCCACGCTCCTTGTGGAAGGGGAAGGAAGTCACACCTTGCTTTGGGCTGTGGTAAAACCTCTCCCTGCTGACAGGGTTTGGATGTGCTTCCCCAAAGCTGGGCTGGAGGGTGGCACTGCCCAGGGCTGTGTGGCTGCCTCAGCCTCTGTCTCATCTGTCCCTCCTGTGTCCTGCAGCCAACCTGGGAGTTGTTCATGAGGGGCAGCACCTCGGGACCTGTGCAGTGGCTCTCTACGATTACCAAGGAGGTGGGTCTGCCCCATCAGGGCTTGGGGGGGGAGGGCACTGGGCCAGGGGGACATGGGGGTCCGCACCATCAGCGGTGGGGAAAAGACTGTGGCTTGGGGGGGGGGGTTTAAATTTCTTCCCTGTAGGAAGCAGAATGAGACCTGGCTTGGGAACTGCGGTGGTTTAGGAATGGTATTGTCCAATTTAGTAGTGCCACTAAAAAAACCCCCCACACACCATCCCTCTCCAGCTGGAGGCCCAAAGGGTAAAGGTCATGGACTGATATGAGAACAATTTACTGGAAACAGCTATGAGAGAAGAAAACAAACGGTAACAGCAACAATATTAATAACTGAAGGTTGAAGAAAAGAAATTGTTCACGTGGAAAAACACTCACTGGATTAATAAACAGTAGTGGATGGCTCCCTCCACCATTTCCCAAATGGAAGGAACCCCCTCTTCCCCAGAACAAACAGCCCCTTTCCCACCCCAGCAATGATGTGAGGTGTTCCCAAATAACTTCGGTGTACTGGCCGTGCCCCCTCCAGGCTACTGCAAAAAATTAACCTGTCCTGGCCGGAACCAGGGCAGGAATAGAAAAACTTCATCTTTCATCTGCTTTATCTGTGCTGTTTGATGGGGGTTGGGGGAGGTTGAACCCTTGGGAGTTTATCAGGGTGCTTGTTCTGTCTTGTCCTGCCCAGGGGAAGTGGGAGGAGGGGTGTGAACTAGCTGTGTCTTGGGTCCTCTTTGCATTGTGACTCTCTGTCTTTCCTGACCGATTTTTGCAGAGGGAGACGATGAGATTTCCTTCGATCCCGACGACACAATCACGCACATCGAGATGGTGGATGAAGGCTGGTGGCGGGGGCAGTGCCACGGCAGGGTCGGCCTCTTCCCAGCAAATTACGTGAAGCTTCTGCAGTGAAACGAGCACTGGGCAAGCTGCTCCCTTCCAAACTTCTGCCTCTCTCTGCTTCAGCCTCTTCCATGTTATCAGCTTCATTTGGTGTGTCCACACTTCAGAGAAATCTCGGGGAGCAAACTGGCAGTGCCTGAGGGGATGTTTTGTCTTGTGCCCAAGAGGATTTTGGTTCCCATCCGCTTCCAGGTGGGAAAGGTGGGATGGTTTAAGAGCATATGAGTGTGATATATAAGGTGTCTCTTCCACCCAGGCTGCCACACCTGTCACCTGGCAAACCTGCAGGAGCGTGTCCCGTTCCCAGCGGGGCAATTCCCAGAGCAGAAACACTGACTCTGGTCCAGGCAGGGCAGAAGGGACGTGAGCTGTGGGACCTCCTTCAGCTGCTGTAGCCCTGGATCTCATCCTAGCCAGGGTTCTAAAGAAAAAAGAGCACTGGGAAAGTCAAATTTGCCTTTGTTGCCGGGAAGGGTTTGCATTTGCAGGATGGAGCAGAGAAACGTGAACGTGGTCTGTGTGCCCCTTTTGGGCGCTGGTATGTCTGTCCCTGGGGGCTGTGCCCTCCCTTTTGGGCACAGGTGTGTCAGTGTGTCTGTCCCTGGGGCCTGTGCCCTCCTTCCCAGCTGCAGCAATAAACAGCTTCTGCTCTGGCCTGGCTCGAGTTGTATCCCGGTGTTTTTGTGACAGCTCATGTCCCCTGTGCCTCTTGGAGGCTCCTGAAAAGGTCCCCTGATTCTTCATCACAGGTGTGGGGAAAGGGCTGAGCAGGTGGGAATCAGGACAGGAGGAAACATCTTGTTTTTAATGGTTAAGACAGATAGTTTTCAGGAATGCAAAGCAAAGCCCTCCCTTGCACCAGCACATCCCAAGGGAATGCTCAGCTGGGGGAGTTGTTGTTGTTGTTGTTCTTCCTCTGGGGGATGCAGGTACCATCACAGCAGGAATAAACTGGGGATAGCTGAGCAGGGAGCTGCGAGAGAACACCTGAGGGGCTGTGAGAGAACACACCTGCCAGCAGCGAGTCCCACTGTGACACTTTAGAGTTCCACTCTGAAGCTTTAGAGCTCAGTGGCTCACGGGTGGGTTCTGGACCACCCAGAAGCTGACCGAGCCTGTACTACCCGGGTGGGAGTGCAATATTCCTGTTCGATGTTTGATCCTGGGAAAACCCACAGGCTGTGTCTGTCCATCATGGGAAAGGTGCGTTGGGATTCAGACTAAAAACTGTCAATTTGAATGTAAGTTTTCCTGGAGGTTTCTGATTTGGGTTGGCTTTAGGTTTTTTGTTTGGCTGAAGTTTGATTGATTTTTTTTCCTCTGAGGTAACTTCACCAGTCTTTTTGAGTTGTGTAGCCGCCCCCCCCCCCCTGCATTTCCTGCTGTCCCTTTCCAGGGGCTCTCCAGAAGGGGGTTCATTGGGCAGACTCTGATGTGTCCAGTGACAATGAACTGGAGCTGTTTCAAGGACTTTTTGGAATCCAGAAGGGCAGATAGCAAGGAGGGCTGAGGGGCTCACAGCCTGTCTGGGCAGGAGCAACAGCCCAACCCAACAGGTGGGTTACAGAAACACTTCTTTCCCCAAAGAATAGAATCAGCACCAAGAACTGACAAACTGTTCCCAGCAAGCCATGAACCTCCCAGTCCCAGTTCTGACTCCCCAGTGGGTTTCTCTGGGAACAGATTGGATTTTCCTGGGCATAACTGAGCTATGTTAGGAGTATTTTGGGCCCCTTCCAGCCGTCTGACTGCAGGTGTGACCTGCCTGTGCCAGCTCGGCCCGGTGAGTCCCTGCTCCTGGCCCCTGGTTTTGGGGCCATTGCCTCCAAAACACAAACCATCATTTGAGGTGGGACCCAGAAGAGGTAGCTGAGGTAGCTGAGGCAGCAGCAGCAGCCCCACATCCCCACCCAGCCCTCAGCCACCATCACCCGGAGCCACACCACTCACAACAGCCGCACCGGGATGTTTTCCAGAGCTTTTGCCACAGACAGCAAAACGTTTCTGGTGAGCGTTTCGGTGCTGGGAGCTCCCCGTTGGGCCACAGCCCCGAGGCTGTCGCCGTGGGCGTCCCACAGACAGACGCTGCGGTGCCAGCGCCGTGGTGGCAGCCCTGGCACCGCTCAGGCGTCGCTGCCAGGGGAGCCCGGCGTGCCCCGTGCCCGCACAGCCCTCCTCAGTGCCCCCAGCACCTCCCGGTTGCGGAGGCTGTAGATGAGGGGGTTCAGCGCGGGCGTGACGATGCAGTACAGCGCCGACACCAGCGCGTCGGCCGCCGGCGAGTAGCCGGAGCTGGGCCGGTTGTAGTTCAGGTTGGCCGTCACGAAGTACAGGGCGACCACCAGCAGGTGGGCAGAGCAGGTGGAGAGGGCCTTGCGCCGGCTGGTGGCCAGCGGCATCCCGAGGACGGCGGCCAGGATGCGCAGGTAGGAGACGACGACCAGCAGGAAGGGGCTGAGGCCCACGAAGACGCTGGCCAAGTGCAGAGCCAGCTGGTTGGGCCGGGTGTCGCTGCAGGCGGCCCCCAGCAGCGGGGGCACGTCGCAGAAGATGTGCCGGAGCCGGGGGGCCCCGCAGAAGGAGAGCCGGGCGGCCAGGAGGGTGTGCAGGGCCGAGTCCAGCAGCCCCCAGAGCCAGCAGCCGGTGGCGGTGGCCACGCAGACCCCGCGGCTCATGGCCTGGGCGTAGCGCAGGGGCCGGCAGATGGCCACGTAGCGGTCGTAGGCCATGACGGCCAGCAGGGCACACTCGGCCCCCGCGCACCCCATCAGGAAGAACATCTGGGCCAGGCACCCCCGGTAGGAGATGGTGGCCTGCGGGCGCAGGGCGTTCGCCAGGATCTTGGGCACCGTCACCGACGAGTAGCAAAGGTCCAGGCAGGACAGGTGGCCGAGGAAGAAGTACATGGGGCGGCGCAGGTGGCGGTCCAGGGACACGAGGGCGAGGATTGCGGAATTCCCCAGCAGCGTGGCCACGTAAACGGCCAGGAGGAGAACGAAGAGGAAAGGCCGGGCGTGGGAAAAGCCCAGGAGCACGAACTCCGTCACCTGAGTCTGGTTCACGCCTGCCATGGGGCCAGCTGGGTCAGAAGTGAGCGCTGTGGAGAGCAGGGGGTGACTGTGAGGCAGTCAATGATGCAAGGGGGTCCAGCTCTGGTCCTGTCTTCACAGTGGTTGAAAGTTTCTTGTGTTGGGATTTCACAGGCACGTGGATTTTCGGAGCCCAGAGATCTGCCAGCCAGCGTTGGGCACCTGACTGCAGGAGAAGCACACAGAGGGAACCCAAGAGCAGGGGACATCCACCCACGCCCCCTGGGGTCCCCTGCCAGCCCAGCCCCTGGTCTTGATAGTATTCCAAGCATGTCTTTTGATGACTACATGCTTCCCTGCCCCTGGACAGGTCACAGGGTCAGAGCATTCCCTTGATGCCACAGGCACTAAACTTGCTCTTCCCCAGCCCTGGTTTGGGGATGTGGCATCATCCTGCACCAGTTAAAAGAATATTTTTTTTCCTTTATCCTGTCTCCTGCTCTGCAATAACCAGCACTTACAAAGCAGGGGTTCCACTCACGAAGAAGGGGTTCCACTTTAGAACGTTAAGCGCTTGAGAATTCACTGCTTCTCTTGGGAGTTTGTTTCTTGTAGCTACTTCCCACAGGAAACTGTCAAAGCACTGTTCAAAACTGTGCTTTTTTTTTTTTTTCCCCTGTTGGAATTGCTCCGGTGTCAGCTCTGTCTCCTTCATAACTTTCAGGTCTTCCTCCTTGTTCTGAGGGTATTTTCTCCCTGTGCACCAAGAGCAATACTAGGGTTTGCCGAACAGAGCTAAGTTCTGATTCATTTCTCTTTCACTTGCCAGTTTTTCAACTTCTTAAAAAAAAAAAAAATTAACACTGAAAGGAAAGGGTTTTGGCCAGAAGATGAGTTCTTCCTTGCCTGGCACAGTGACATCCGAACTTGTCACTCCATCCAGGATGTGCCAGGCTGGGAAAACTCTGCCCAGGCAAGCTCTCAAGCGGTTGCCCACATCAACATACTCTTCAGCACAAACCAAAAGGGCTGGATGGGGAGCAGAGAGGGAACACAGACATCACCAGTGCCAGGAAGGTTCCTGTCCTTGCCCCAGGAGTTGAGAGGGACCCTTGACCAGCGTGACAGTGACACATGAGCCCAAGACCAAGCTCTGCTCTGGTTCACTCCCTGAAGCAGGAGACCTTTTCTTGTAGCCTTTTGGGGACCACTGTGCCACCCTTCCTCCTGCAGGAGCACCTTCCCTGGGTGGGTGTGAGCTCCTGCAGGAGGATGTGGCTCTCCTCACCAAGCTCCCACATCCCATCTGCTCTCAGGTGAGCAGAGCAGGTAGATTGCAGCAGACAGCCCTTGGAGATGAGGTCCTGAGCCTCGGGTACATGTAAGGTGATGGCTGGACTGAGGGAGCAAACAGCACGGGAATGATTTCTCTTGGAAAGGACTGGATGGCTCTGTTAGAGGCAGCAGGAGCAGCCACAGCCTGCTCTGACCAGCCAGGAGCCCTGGGGGCCAGCACCAGGTTCCCCCCACCCCCAGCAGTGCGTGAAGAGTCTGCCCTCTCACCTGTCCTCACCTCCACAGCCAAGAGCAGAGAGTGGATGGCACCTGGCCCCTGGTAAGAGGGAAACACTGGCTGGATCCCTGGATGCTGTCCTGTATCCCATGTCCCAGGTGCTGCCTGGTTTGTCTTACCTGCACGAGGAGAAGCCCACACGTCCTCAATGCTGCGAGCGCAGCAGCTTTTAACCCTGCAGGGGCCCTGGGAGGGGCTTTCAGAGGTGGCTCCTGTTCAGCGGCAGGAGCGAGGAGGAGCAGCCCCCACCAGGCTGCACCAGTGGGATCCGAGCCCGTGGGACTGAGCCCTGGTGACACAGGACTCACCCCGACCTCCCATCCCTCTCCAGGCTGTGCCAAGCGCAGACCAGACCCTGCTCCAGCTCCTGGGTGGGGAAAGGGGGTGGGAGCTGCCATCCCTGGGCCACAGGTCCTTCCTATAACCCCATTTCAGGGCTGTGAGGTGCCTGCACCGGCCACTGGTGGTCTGAGCATAAGCTCTGGATCTGGAACAGCAAGACCTGAGGGAGCTGAGTGGTAACACCTTTCTCAGGTGAGTAGGGAAAGTGCAAGTGGGATATAACTGGACATGAGGATGAACACCTGTGTGGAAATCCAACACGGACACCAAGGGTTCTGATGCCTCAGCCAGAGGAAATGTGGGTCAGAGGGTGCCTGGAGCTGGAAAATATGAGCAGCAGGTGTTATAAGATGAGCAGTTGTAAGTGTGACCCTGTGTGTGTAGGTGGAGCTGTGACTGTGACCCTGTCCCCAAACTGCTCCAAGAAGGTCTCCTGCTTCAGGGAGTGCACAAGGAGCAGTGACTCTGAGCCCTGCCTGTCTCCAAGCAGCTCCCAGGCAGGGCAGGTGGGCTTGCAGGGCAGGGAGGCCACGATCATGGGACTTTGTGATGCAGCCTTTTGCTCTGAGTTTACCAAATTACCTGTTTCTCCTGTGGCAATGACGAGCATTTCCTTGTTTCACACAGAAAACTCCATGCTGGGGCATTCCAGTACAAGGTGGCCAGGGTTTTAAGGGAAGACAAATGCTGGCAGCACTCAGAGAAACCCCCTCCCACTCTGATATTTCAAAAGAGACTTTGCTGAAACCACAAACACCAGAAACTTCCATTATGGTAGTTCATGTCTTCATCCTCCTCTGGTCTCAGGAGGGATATCAAACCTGGCTGTGGGGGTCCAGCAGTAAATCAAATCTCCATGAACTTGTGAAATGTTAAGGGAGTTGTTTTTTAACACCAAAATGCTTCAAATTGGGGGTGCAGCCTCCAGGATTGGGCCCAGATCCTGTAAATGCTCCACACTTCCAGAAATCAGGCTCTTGACTTACCTTCTCCAAGCATCTTATGGGAGAGGTAGTGGATTCCTGCCTGACTCCTTCTCTCTCAACACTTGACAAGGAGATTTTTTTGGCTGAAGAAAATTGCGTTGTCTTGAGCTTTTGTCCAGTTTAATTGGCACTTGAGTTTTTTTAAAAAGACCAGGCAAGGAGGGTTTGCATCTCTATGGTCTAACCATCAACTGGCCAAAGCTGCCCCAATTTATACGTGTTTGTCACGGGCTGATGTTTGCACAAGCCCAACCGCTGCGATCACACAACGTGAAGTGACCTGTTACCCTGGGGCATCAGAGTTTGGGGGGCAGGTTCAACATCTACAGAGGCCTGGAAATGAAAATTGGGGTCCCAGCACCAGCCCTGGGTCACTAATTCTTCCTGGCCAACTTGTGTTCAGAAAGCAACAAGGAAAGTCTCTCCTGTCACCACCAAGTAGCACTTTTGCCTCGTGGTTGCTCGTGGGTCCTTCTTGGGCAGCTGTGGCCCCTTCTGCCAGTCTCATTCCTCCCTCCCTTCCCATGGCCAGCTTGGAGCCATTCCCAAGGCTCCTCATCCCGGTGTGAGCACCAGCTCTGCCCCCGAGGCCAATTAGTGCACTCGAAGAGAGAGAAGTTTCTGTGTTCCCAAGTTTGCCCCCTTGGTCCCATTCCCCACAGACCCTCTTCCCCAGGGAACAGGTCACAGGGGTGTCAGTGCCAATTACAAAAGCCCAGAGCGCTTCCCCTGCTCAACCTGGCATGTTTGGGAGATGTGCAAACAAGGCCCAGAGCGGGCTGTTAAAAGTTGCTGGGGGCTGTTAAAAGTTCAAGGCAGCCACTTTGTTCACACTGCTGGAATCAGCTGCACCCAAGTGCACCGTCACCACGGGAAGTTTGTGCAGGCACGTTCAAAGGGGTCATTTCCCCAAATGGAATGATTGCAAGTGAGTAGGAAAAAAAAACCCAAAAACTTCAGCAGTGAGAGGCGTGAGCCAGGAATTGTCAGTCAGTGATGTGCCAAAGGAATATCCAGAAAGGGAAGCACAACATAGAGAAGAAAGGTAGAAACAGTTGAGTTTAATAATTACAAGAAAAACACACAAAACTGAGCAAACCCTCCAGGAATCAACAAACCATCAAATTTACAAAATCCCAGTAAAGCATCAACAGCATTGGGGACAGCAGCTCTCAGACCTGTGTGAAGGCACATGGGATCCTGAGCAGATCCACCCTGGACACTGCTGGGGACAGGGACAGCAGCAATGTCCTGCAGATCCCTGCATCTGTACCTGGAACAGAACAACGACCATTTGATCCCAGACAGGAGGAGGAGGAGGAGGAAACACAACTGCAGATGTGTTTGACCGTGATAGCTCTGGGCAGCACTTCCCACAACAGAGGGAGTTCTGGGAACAGAGAGTCCCTGCCTTGGTCTGGGACAATGTAAATGCACTAAACCCCTGTACAGGAGCCAACCTTACAGGGAAACGCAGCTCAGCCTGCCAGGACCTGGCTCTGCACCTCCACACCCAGCCCTGCTGCACCACCACGTCATCATTCCATCACTTATCCAGGTGACTAAATGGCTTTGGCCATCCCTTTTCCCAAAGACACGGAACTGTCCAGTGAGGTTGCAGACACTGAGGGCTCCAAGCTGCCCTCGGGTGTTTTGTCACAAGACCTCACGTGAGGAGCCCCTGGCAAAGCTTCTCAGCCCCTGCCACCTGCTGTCAAATTCATTATCCAGCCCTGGACTGGTGGATCCAGGAAATCCAGAGCTCCACAGCCACTACTGAATTCCACCAAACCTGCTGCTCTTGTGCCCCACCAGGACCAGCTCCAGCTGTGCCTCCACCTGACACAACTCAGGACACAAACCCCAGGACAGTGGGCTTCCCAACGTGGCTGCACATGAGTGAGGACAGCATGGTTCATCTCACACCACTGATGCCTTTTTTAGGCTCTTTTCCCCTCTTTTCTCCCTAAGGCACAGTGGGAACAGCCAACAGAGAACCCAAGGCCTACCACCAGCAAAAGCAACTGGAACAAGCAACCTCTGATCCACCTGGCCCTGGACCAACTCACCTGTCTTATTCATACCCAAATAAACTTGAGGGCCCAGTGAGCTGCGTGGCCAGACTGTCAGTGGGAACACTGCTGAAGGAGCTCTTCCTACAGCACCCCAGCACCCGCCTGACCCCAGAGAGCATGACGTGACCCTGGGGAACACAGCAGCACCCACACGAGGCTCTCCCCCTCCCTCGGTCCCTAAAGCGTGGCACAACTCTCCGTCTGGTACCCCCACAGAGCACCCAGAGGCGCTGCCAGCTCAGCAGAGCCAAGCCCTACCGCAGGTAACTCAGGTCACCTCGGCCTCATCCGCCTCGAGCACGTGGTGCACGCGCTCCTCGGGGCTGTAGAACACCCGCCCCTGGCGCAGCCTCGGCTCGTCCTGCTCGTACCAGCGCTGCTCATCGAACTCGGGGAAGAAAAAGGCGATTTCCCTGCTGGCTGAGGCGGGCGAGTCTGTCAAAAAAAAAAAAAAGAGGAAGAGGTGACGGGAGATGCCGGTCTGGCACCACAAACACGTGCTGGGCTCCAAAGGCACCCGGCTCAGCCGCACCTGGCCAGGTGTGCACGGAGAACACATCGCCCACTTGGAGCCCCAGAACCTCCCTGAGCACCAGCCAAGCAGGGCAGGCCTACCTGAGCCATGGGTGGTGTTCCTGGTGTCCGTGAGGCCGTAGGCTCCTCGGATGGAGTCCGGGTCGCTGTATCGCGCTCGGAACACTTTGGTGGGTCCCATCAGGGATCTCCAGCGAGGGACGGCGTTCTCGTGGGCCAGGATGTAAGCCCACATGGGGCCACTGCGGGAAGGGCCCAGGAAAAGCAGAAGGAAAGGTTACGAAGGGCACACAGTTCGTTCGTCCCTGGAAACCTGCACAGCGCAGCTGCCGCGGGCTGCTCTGCGGGGACCCTGACACTCCTCACCCGCACCCCCCGCACACCCTCCGCGGCTCCGGGTGGGGCTCCCCTCGCCGGGCGGCCCCTCCACACCGCGGGTCGCCCGCAGCAGGTACCTGGCCATGAACTCCACGAGCCGCTGGTAGAAGAACCGCCCTGCGGAGAGACAACGGGCCGGGTGAGGGGCGGGCCCGAAGCGCTGAGCGCCCCCGCTCCCGCAGAGCCCCGCAGAGCCCCGCTCGTACCCGCGTGCTCCCGGTAGAAGCGGCGGCTCTGCTCGGGGCCGCACCGCAGCTCCTTGGCGCGCACGATGAGGAACCGGTGGCGGAGGATGGCGGCGTGCACGGCCTGAGGGAACAGGGGCGTTGCTGGGCAGGCGGGCCGGCGCGGTGCCCTGTACAGTACCCGGTGCGGTGCCCGGCGCGATGCCCGGTGCGGTGCCCGGTGCAGTACCCGGCCCGGTGCCCGGTGCGGTACCCGGCCCGGTGCCCGGTGCAGTACCCGGCCCGGTGCGGTACCCGGTGCGGTGCCCGGCCGGACTCACCTCCCGCACCAGCGGATGCGCCACCGCGTCCGGCTTGAGCAGCGCCAGCGTCAGCTGCAGCCGCGGGGCCGCCATGGCCGCGCCGCAGGGGCGGGGGGCGGGGCCCGGTGGGGGGGCGGGGCCGCCGGGGAGGCGGGGCGGGGGGGCGGGGCCAGGGAGGGTCCACGCGCGTCGCGTGGCAGCGAGGACGCGCAGGCGCGGCCATGGCGGCGGCGGAGGGACCGGAGCGGGAGGAACCCCGGGACGAACCCCGGGACAAGGCGGCGGCCGGCGCTGAGGAGACGGTGAAGATCATCTGCCTGGGCGACAGCGCCGTGGGCAAGTCCAAGTGCGTGGGGGCGCGCGTGGGGCTTACGGGGGCGGCGGCGGCGGCGGGTCCCGCGGGCTCACGGCGGCGCGCTGTCTCCCCGCAGGCTGCTGGAGCGCTTCCTGCTCGACGGCTTGTATCCTTGGCAGCGGGGCGGCGGGGGGATGGGGCAGCGGCGGAGGGGGGGGGTCTCCGTGGGCTCTCCGTGGGCTCCTTAACATCGCCGCAGCCGCCCCCAGCAGCTCTCCACGTTCGCGCTGACGCTGCACCAGCATCGCGCCCGCGTGGGCGGGCAGGAGGTCCTCGTGGGTGAGTGGGGCACAGCCCGCGGGGCAGCCCAGGGACTGGCGGTGCCGTGGCGGAGGGAGGGGCTGGGAGGGGGGAGATCCCCTTGCGCTGGATCCTGGTTGGGTTTTTGGATAGACTGCAATATCCTGAGGAATCCCGTGGCCTTCTGTGACGGGACTGCAGCGTTGATGGATGGGGCAAAGCGAGTGCCGTCATTGCTCTGGGCTTGGCGAAGCTTTGGGCACTGTCCCCACGATATACCGGGCTCTGAGCTGGAGAGACAGGGATTGGGTGGATGGGTGGGTGGATGGACACTCGGGGGTGAGGAATGGGCTGGATGGCTGCACGCAGAGTCGTGGTCATGGCTCATTGTCCACGTGGAGACCGGGATGAGAAGACCCCTGAAGGGTCTGTCGGGGTCGGGACCACCACTGTTCAACATCTTTGTTGTGACAGGGACAGTGAATGCAAATGTGGTCTGACAGGGCCCTGTCTGTATTTAGGCATTTTAAGAAGTCACCATCGTGCAGGTCAGGCCCAGTGTCCAGTCAGACACCGATATCAGAGCAAAGGAATCCCTGAGAAAAGCAGCTTATAGCTTCTTGGATTTGGGTGCAGCAGCACCACGCTTGGGTCCAGCTGACAGAGGGGTGACCACGCTGGGGTGCTTGGCTGAAGCTGTGCAAGTTTACACAGCAAACCAGACCCAGATGGGAACTTACAAACCTGGTACCAGCAGCAAAAGGCATTGTGGGGTCCGGGTGTGCACAGTGGCACCTGACACCTGGCGTACACAGAGATTCACGGGCTGGGATCTGTCTGCCTCAGGCTGACTTCTCTCCATCACTGGCTCAGAAATCAGCAGTTTCCAGCAGTTTCTGGAGGTTTAGTCGGTTTCCCATTGTCATCCCTTAGCGACAGAGGGCCCAGGCATTGCTACTGCTCTTTGCACTTCTGCCTGGCTCCGTCCTGCTGTCCCGTACAACTCGTGCCACTGGTGGCTTCTTCTCAGTTGGGCATCATCTCATAACCCTCGAGTGTTTTGGACTGGCGAGGCGAAACCCAGTTTGCGACCCAGGGCAGGTGGGCTGGGCTTTGCCTCCAGGGGGTGTGAGCTGTGAGGAAAACGGGGCGAGCTGTGTTGCTCTGAGCTGTTTCTGTGTTACAGACTTCTGGGACACAGCGGGCCAGGAGCGGTTCCAGAGCATGCACGCCTCCTACTACCACCAAGCCCACGCCTGCATCATGGTGAGGGAGTCTCGGCCGGGAGCTGGTGGGATTTGGGCTCGGAACGGTCCTGGTGACACTTGGCTTTTGTGTTCCTTTTATGGTTACGCTGCTGTCTATTCCTTGTCTCTTCTAGTGGTTCAGAAAGTTTTCCTCGATTGTTCTTTCTTCTCTCACCAGATAAAGCCCCTGTAGCTGGGCTTGCTTGGCTCTGGTCTGTCTCTCCTGGTGGCACTGTTCTCCATCTCCTGGCTCTGCTGTCCTCTTAAATTTCCTCACCTTTGTCCCTGTTCCCAGTTTCACGTCTCCTCACCTGCTCGTGTCTCCTTGTTTGTCCTGTTGCTCTCACTTTCCGCTGTACCTCACCACCTGGGAACAGGAGTCACCCTCACTGGTGCTTTAGTTGTCAGAACAGAGGATGCCACCACATCTTACTCTGCTGGGCACTAATCGTTCCCATTACTGGCTCCCTCTGTGTGGGTGGCAGGGACTTGTCACAGGACACAGTCCCAGTGTAAAGGACATCGAAGGGCTGTTTCCTGCTGGCTGCATATGCTGGGATACTCTTGTGGATACTCTTCCTTTCTCTCCCATCCTCTCTAGCAACACCCAGTTCCCTTTGTCATGCCCTCCTGGGAATATTCTGCATTCTGTCCTTGTGTCGCTCAGAGATGTCCCAGGCCGCTCAGAGCTGTCCAGGGGCAGTCAGAGCTGTCCTGGATTGGCCTCAGCACAGCTGGTTCTCTTTTGCAAGGTGTTTGATGTGCAGAGGAAGGTCACCTACAAGAACCTGAACAGCTGGTACCGGGAGCTGAGGGAATTCCGCCCGGAGATTCCCTGCATTGTGGTGGCCAACAAGATCGATGGTGAGTGCACCTTCTGTTCCCAACCTCGCAGGGTTGTGGTGAGGTTCACTCTTGCCCCAGCTGAGAACAAA